AATAATAATAATAATAATAATAATAATTCAATTCAATTCTTGCTTCTATGCTTGTAGACTTAACAGCTCAGAGGCCAATTACAAAGTAAGCACGAGTACGTAGGACACAAAAATAATTGACAAACAAAATATAAAATAAGGGAGTCTTCATAATAGCAATACATTAATAATAAATCCATGAAAAATTAAATTTATCGTTAACAGGTGAGAAAAGAAAGGTAAGCACATTTCCAGTGGTTATGCCATTATGTGGTGAGAGAGAACTATACGCGTACATACACACATAGAAGTTAATAATAACCAGGGCCCGGATTTTGATGACATGTCATCTTATTTCCTTGTATCCTATGTGATGCTCTTAAATATATAAATCTCAGATATGAGGTGCTGGTTACAGAAATGTAAATTTTATAGGTAATTTTTTGTCATTTTTTGACATTTTTAGATTTAAGGTAATTTTTTCATTTTGAGGGTAATTTTTGGTACATTTTTGGACTTTTAAGGGTATTTCTTGTCATTTTTGGCCATTTTAGGGAATTTTTCTTCATGTGTTTTCTGAAATGTGAATAACATGGAAGCCAAGTGTTCTTTCTTTTCTCCTTTAGGTCGTTTTTCTGGAGGTTTTCGGTCATTTTATAGGTCATTTTTTAAATATTTTCAGGTCATCAAAATCCGGGCCCTGATAATAACTTATTCAATTCTTACTTCTTTGTGTGCTAACTCAACATCCAAATAACAATAATAATAATTACAGCATATTACAAAACTGACAATTGAACCCTAATTATCCAGCCCGTGGCCCGTCGCTGTACCGACTGAACTATCCCGACTCCTGTGAGACTGGGTAAAATGAAGATAAAGCTAAAGATGTCCCTGTGCGTAATTAGCATAGCCCTACACGTAAAAAGTAAAGCTATCCCTGTACAAGACCGTGAAGGCCTATAGGGTTGTGAGACGTTGAGGGTCCCACATTATCTAGACAATCGGCTCAAAGATGGCGGTAAGGTTGTCAGCCTTACGCACCGGCCGCGCTTTATGCCTCAGGAAAATTATTTAATTAATTCCTGGTACCCATTTCTGTTAGAGGCTGAGTAAACCCCAAGGCCTTGTGTGGCTGGAAGGATTAAATCAACTGAAAAAAAAAATCCAATGACCTCATCGGGACTTGAACCGCATAGCCCCTACTACGCTACCGCGTGCCCCCGGGAACTGCGAAACATTAGCATAATCACTCGGTTCATGATTTTCCAGCCCATAGTAACCCACACTTCGAGGACTGCCCATTTTCACGTCATTTTGATTTGTTTCTGATGTCTGTAATTCAATATTTTGTTAACTTTAATGGCACATGGCATGAAACTTTATTCAAATAATGTGACAGAACTTTCGTTCTATTTATCGAATGAGAACACCTGTCCACACAAACACAAACTGCTTTGGCTGTAGCTTCATCACATAAAAACCGACGTTTAATCCGTGACATCATTAGTTTCTGGATCCTGTGTGTTTAATTATGATGATCCCCATTTAATTACTGTGCTACCGGTCGCGTGCAACCTGTACAGATGAGTTCATCACAAATAAATCAATCAGTCACTTCCATTCCAAACAATTAAAGAGGCCCAGTAGACACTATACATGTATTTTGTTAACATTAATCTGTGGTTAAGTCTTTTTTCCTCCAGCATGTGGTTAATGTTTTAGTGGGTATTACACAGATGGCTTGTAATAGAAGCCGCTTATGTGATTCTAATGTGTACGATATTCTTACACTTTGTTATATTGTGATGTATATCAATTACTATAGACGGGGTTCGGATTGGAAATAAGATTTATTGGCCACTTACAAGTCGGAGCTACAAGGAATTATAACACCTTTACTGATTTTCACAGTAGAAATCACTCCACGCTTATCTTCTCTTTCTGTTTACACTGGTCTTCCTTATCCTTTTCCTGAGAATGGATCTATAACACAGGAACTATAACAGCCTCACTAAATTACACACTCCCAATATCACTGTACTAGAGCATATGTATAAAGTCTTCGAATCACACTTTGAGTCTTCGACTTATAATTCTTCTTCAACTAAGAACTTCCCGTGGCCATCTCCTACAGACAACTGGAGGGAATTCGTATTCCCGTATTCTCTATATCCTCTCGGCACGCACCACATAGAAAACACTGCTTTCTTTGTTGTTGCGGGACGCTAAACACGTAGAATACACAGCCTCCTCTATTGCTGTTTGGCGCTTTGTTGGAACGTGTTTACCGAGCTGTTGCCTAGCAATGCTTTGATCAAATTCGTTACAATATTTATTTTCCTTCCTATTATTACTTCTATTCATTTGTCTGTTGCTCTCTTTAATGGAGTTTCTGTACTCAAAAGAGCAGCGCTCTGTACAAAGGCAGTACAGAACAATACACAACTGGAATCTCTGGAATGGAAATTCTTCGGACAGAAGTTTAAATTTCTGAAGAGATTACGTGCATCTGATTATCAAATATACTTCGTTAAACGTAATTAACCATATCTATGGTTGATATGTACCGGTCACGGTAGCCAAGCGATGTAAGGCGTGCACTGTCTTCGCTCGCTCGGAAGCCGGGATCGTGGGTTCGAATCCCACTCAGGGCATGGATGTTTGTGTGCGTTTTTCTGTGTTTGTCTNAAAGAGTTTCTGTTCCACTTTTCCCGAGCAAAAAGTAGAATTTCATCGCCGCACGAAAATCAGCCTTTGCAAAAACGACGTTCACACAAAACAGTTGTCACTATAAACTCTGNGTGTGTAAGATCTAGTAAACCGACGTGAAACGGAGAGTTTCAATGAGGTAGGCCTAGGCCCAAATTGGGGCTGTAGCGCCACAGGAAAAAAAATGGTTGATATGTACGAGGGGGTACCCAAAAGAAACCGAACTTATTTTTTTAAACTTATTTATTCAAATTTTAAGCACAAACCTTNTTAGTTCTATGCGCGCACAGCGGCAAAACGCGGTACTACAAAAGCTCTGCCCACAAAAAAAATAGTTCGGTTTCTTTTGGGTACCCCATCGTATATGGAATGGGTGTACTTTATGAAATTAAGTTATAGAATAAGTCATCTTTGCCGATATATATTATACTAGCATAAGACACTTTGAGATTTCGAAAGGGAAATTTGAAGGCGTTCATCTCCTTCTTCTTTGTTTCAACATAATCTTCACCCGCTCAAATTTTCCACATTGTACCCGTACCTTAGCTGATGAGGGTTAGTTTAAATTCACAGTCTCAATTAATATGCAAGCTATAAACTTCAAGTTTTCGGGAAACGCAACGTGGTACAATGAGTTGTCTGGATATCTAGAAGTAAAGTTTTGAGGCAATGCCCAGGATTGTAATACCGCGAATTACCTGATATTTGACTGTTTTCCTAATGCGTATTCATCCTTAAAACTGTAGCTGTTGTTTTGATCGTTGGTGCCGATGCTGCTGATCAGTGCTGCAAAGAGTAGCAGCGAAAGATTGATCAGATGTGTATTTCGAGGAAAATTTCCTCCTGCTGACCCCCGTGTTGTCACCCGCAGGTTCCTTCTGCGCTACAGTTCCTGTTTGCATGAATGCAGCTTTCGTAATCTGCTGCGTGCGACAATTCCTCGTCCTGCAGGTCGGACCTGCAGCAGGTTGAGATATATATATGCACACACACACACACACACACACACACACACACACGCACTGTTCAGCTAATGCAGCGGGATGCTCAAATACAATATTGTTAAGTTTTCGGTATTCCGTGACTAATAATAACAGATTCTGGATTAGGTGGTTGGATTTATTGACACTTCTATCCCTGTTACAACCTGTCTGTCGTCAAAGAAACATTCTTTCAGAAACATTGCCTAGCAAGAGACTATTTCACATCTATTCGTTGCCGCGGGAACATGTGTTTGGCGAGCCGTTGGCAAGCAATGGACTTCCGCGACTGTTCGTTACCGCAGGAACATATGTCACCGAACCGTTACCT